AATTTTTATTTTTATTTTTTTAAATGTAGAAATTGTGTTAATTTGTGCAATGATAACCTACCAGCAATGTAAATGATTTTTTTAATATATTAGAATGAGTACATTATAATATAAATTTATTAGAACGAGTACATTATTATTTATTGGCTTAAAAACAAGATGCAAACAATCAGAATATTGTACCTGGTGGGGAGTGCCCAATGTAAACATGAAACATATGCCATTACCTATATTGTACTGTGGTACAGTTGTGGAGGCCCTTCATAATGCAGAGGTCAGCTGCCTGCTCTGCCAATAGTTAGCAATGGCACTATAGTATGCAGTGTTTAATAAACAGCTGTTTTATTAAATTCTGCTGAGGTGAAATTCAGTGCAGTCCTGTATCGTGATACGTATCTTATCTTTGCTGATGATACACAGCCCTACTACAATGGTCAGCAATAATCCAGTGAGCCGTGTAATAACGTAGATTATATATAATGGATATTGAAATTGTTAGGACCAAAAACTAATTTGACAGCTGATTTTATCATTCTACTGTATTGTTATTAAACAAAATACTCTTTGCAAAATTCACATTTTCTGTTTGCGCATTTATTGTCCTACAGGGGTAGCACCGTGCGGGACAAGTTACAAGCCAAATGATAATACTTACTTAGCATTAATGGTTTGGTTCAAATCTTTAACCTTTAATTATGAGAAATAGTAATAGTGATCCTGACCAACGCCAGCAGTAATAAAACTTACTGCTAAAAACCTCAATAAAAATAGAAATAAACTGCTCAAAATAGGACTCAAAAATTTTTAATCTAAGCCTCGTGTGGGCTCATACCTGTGATGTCCTGTACTTTAGCAGAAGTGCAGTAGTATCGGTGGACTGTCTCTAAGAGCTGAGCCCCGTGTCCTTCTCCCTGGAATGGTGGCAAGACCAGCATCTGGCTACACACACACACACACACACACAGACACACACAGAGTACAAAAGCTTTAGTGATGCTGCACAGAACAGAAGATACTTAGGCACAATACCAATTTAAGGTTAGAGCTCTTGAGGCTTTGAGCAGCGGTTCTGCAAGCACAGCTCCAGCACCCTTCAGACGCACACTACACGACTGACTTTACAGAATCTGCTGAAACTCACACTATAGGACAGAGGTTTTGCTTAAAGACCAACATTTTACATTGAACATCAGGTGGGGCACACCACCGTAACAAAATTGTTAATCAAACAAAAGTAAAAAATCGATGCGTTTCAGAAAGGTGGGGCATAGAGGAGAAACAATAATGTACAGTATGTGGAAAATAATGTGTTTTTTTAACTTTAAACCGCATAAACACATTTCATTACACCAAATACACAAAATAATGTTCTTTTTAGCAGCATCATATGACCCCTTTAATCAAAAAAGCCTGACATATAAGTCAGAAAAGGCTTTTTTCTGTTTTCTTTTTTTTTTTAATGGAATAGTTTACTGAGCCTGAGTTACTGAAACTCAGTTTTAGGCCCAAACAGATGCTGACATTTATATGGTCAAAAGTAAGATTCTAACAGTTTGTTATGTAAATCAATGAGATATTTATAACAGTATAACAGACTACTTACATAAAATCCATATCAATTCAGTTGTCACTCTATACTTCCCAATGATATGTCTTAGTAATGATGTTTAAATGCTTAGTTTTATGATCAAAGCTGTGTAGTTTGTTTTTTTGTTTTGTTTGTTTGTTCTTTTATTGTGGGGGCAAAACATATAATAAAATGCAATGCAATGATTATTGAGAGATAATCATTAAACCCCAAAAACCTGATGTATCATATGTGATTCATTTTAACATGATTTTTCTAAACAATTATGTTTGGATAATAAAGTAAACCTAAGTTGCTTCAGTCCAGTAAGTGCTCAAGTTGAAATATTTCTAACAATATAAAAGTTATTCTTACATTTTCTGCGTATTTCTGTATTTATTCGACTATTTGTTCTACACACGATTACACGCTTAGTTGCAATTTATTCCTTGCATGGTTTTCCCCTGCTATCAGAACTCATTTTGGGTTGCGACCCACCATTTAAGAATTACTAAAACAGACAGTCCCACTTTCATCCGCCTCATTTTAGCTGCTGAAAATATTCTCAAATACAGTAAGCAATAATATCATCAGTCTCCGAGAGGTTATATCTGTTCATTCAGCAGTGGCCAACGTAATGAAACGTTAGTACGTCTTGCCAATCAATACATTAGACTCGTTTTCAAAACCAGCTTTCGGGCGGGTGATGCTGAATTCGTGGGTCTTATAATACCCAGAGAGGGGCTGGCGCTCAAGAGACGCAAGACGGTAATTTGGGAGTTTTAGGGACAAGGGAGAGAGAGATGTGTAATTTTCTTTTCCTTTTTTCGCAGAATAAAGCAGATAGTGGGCACGTGCTTCCTCAGTAATTACCTGACACGTGGTCTGGTTTTGTCTGGGTACACGTAGTAATTATACACTGTCATGTAGCCAACCGTTGCGTAGAGGGTCTCTCCATCCTTATTGTACTTCTCAAATCTGTAAGAAAGACAGAGAGATAGAGAGCGATGACAAAGGCGGGCAGGTCAATCATAGGCACGCTCCCATGCACCGGACCCCCCCCTCGTCACTGCGGAGGGCCAGTGGCCTGTCGCTGCACCTGCTGGAGACACTGAATGCATTATGCACTTAATTGGTGCACTGCAACTTAGAGCAGAGAGGCAGGCATCTAGCCTCTTCACATCACTCCAGTCCATTTGCCCATTGTCTGTTTTAATAGGTGCCAAAGCAAAGAAAACACAGGCAGAGTCCCCTTCGCTACCGCTGGAGACTTCATTATTCAGCGTTTCAAAAGACAACAACATTCAATTCAGCCTCTTGGCCTGACTCAAGAAAGAAAGAAACACAAGAGCAAAGAAACGAGACAAACAACACAAAGGAAACTCTTGCCAGATCAACAATTTGCCTCAATGCAGGAGAAAATATAATTAAAGCAGCCTGATAATTGGTCCCACAAAAGCAGGAGAGGCGTAACTGGGCCCGTTCGGACGCTTTACATGTGCGTGTGTGTGAGAGAGACTCAGGAAAGCACTGCTCAGAAAGTTACTGTTCACTATTAATGGTCACTACCTTCTTATCGGCACTCGCTGGCTTTGTGAGAGCACTTGATGTCTATTTTTTCTGCTTAAGTTATCAACACTCGTCACGAGTTTTTGCCAACAAGTCACATTTATTCAAAGGCTGAGAATATACATCTAGAACTATCAGAGAGCCTCTTTATTTAGCATTTTATGGAGCTTAAAATATGACAAAACTATTTGAATTTGTGTAAATTTGAATTATTGACAAGTGTCATTTAACAAAACTGAATATTATGTGGCATTTAACATCGTTTTGAATTAGATTTTTTTTTTAACTTGAATATTTGAAATTTAACACAATTTAATTTTTTATGGCAGAGTTTTAGACATGTATTTTCAAACAGCTGATTTTTTGTTCTGAATTCTTAGACTGCAAATATCCAGATGTGCGTTCTGAATTTCTGCGTTTTGAATTTTAGAATATTGAATTTGATGTTCTGAATTTCTTCATCTTGAAAACTTGAAGCTGTATTTTTAAAAACTGGATATTTGCAGTCTAAGAATTCAGAACAAAAAAATCAGCTGTTTGAAAATACATGTCTATAAAACTCTGCCATAAAAAAAAAATCAATTGTTTTAAATTTAAAATATTCAATATTCAAGTTAAAAAAATCAAATTCAGAACTATGTTAGATGCCACATAATATTCAGTTTTGTTAAATGACACTTGTCAATAATTAAAATTTATACAATTCAAATTCAAATAGTTTTGTCATATTTTAAGCTCCATAGCATTTCTCTGTCAGTGGTTGTCAATTGATTTTGCTTCTGGACCCAGGTTTTACATTCATATCAAGTGGTAAACAAACATGTCCTTAAAGAAACAGAACTTTATTAGTCTTACCATGATCTGCATGGACTAACAATATGCAAAAAGTATGTTATTAACATGCTATAGGCTAAATACATTGGATACTGGGCCAAATAATGGAACACTGTACTTTATATCTAACATATCTAATTAAAACTATTATCTGGGGTCCAATACAAGGAACAGTTGTGAATCAAAATGAAAATGTTGTCATCTGGCCCTCATGTTGTTCCAAACCTGTATGACTTTATTCAGCAGAACACAAAAGAAGATATTTTGAATAATGTTGGTAACCAAACTATTCTGAATACCAGTGAGTTATATGGGTATTAAAAAAAAAACAGACATTTCCCAAATTATCTTCTTATATGTTCCACAGAAGAAAATAAGTCATACATTTGGAACAACAGGAGGATGAGCAAACGATTACAAAATTGAAGTGGAAAGTACATGCTATATCTGTGACAATATCTGCGGCATGCTGTCAATTACCACAGTTAATCATTTAGATTTTAGTTAACAAATATTGCACTTACAATAATGGACATACAATGGAAGTCTATAGGGCAAGACATTTCAGTGGGTTTCAAATAGGGCTGGGCGATATGGCCCAAAAAATTTATCACGGTTATCACGATATCACGATTATCACGGTGATTTTTTTCCATATACATGCAAATAAGTTCAAACATCAATTCAATATCTACTATTTCCTGAATATTATGAAATTCAAGATGGCCGCCCCTGATGACGTCATAATATGCAAATTAGATGAATATATTTACACCCCACATAAACTTTCGGTCATGCGCAACATTTTTCTAATTTACATTAGATCTCTATCTTTAAGCCCTTTCAAGCCACAAGCTTTTGAAATCTTGATGTCAAAATCCAGCATATTTTTCCAAAAAACCCTGGCGCCTAAAGGGTTAATAATAATATCACTTTTTTGTCTCTTAGAAATGCACATTTGATAGTAGCATGAGTTAGGATGCAGAGGTAAATTTTTGTTCATTATCAAAATCAGTAACATCTGTAAAAGAATTGTAGCAACCTCAGTTTTATACGGTTAAATTAAGCATTGGTCTCCCATAGTAGCATACATTTAAATCATGATAAACACAGTTAAAACCACACATATAGCACCTCAATAACATGGTAAAAATATAACTATGTGGTTTTTAAGTAGCCTATTTGTATGAAAAACAGTAGTCTAAAAACATTCAGTATAAATGCACACATGCTATAGCTTAATCACAAATACGTACTATAATTACCATTACTCCTGTATTAAAATTCAGTGTGAATATCCCAAGTTTCTGCCACAATACCTTGGTGCAGTGAGTGTTACTACAGTAAATCCATGGTAAATGATAGCGACGTGTAGACTGAAAATCCTTCTGACTGTCTCGTTGCACACAGTGTTTCTCCTGTTTGGCTTTAAACTAGTTTAAAATCACAGAGTCATTTGTGTTTATCGCTGAGTTCAAGCGCTTCACACTGGATCTCACAGCGTTGCTTAATGCTCGCGTGACCGAGTAAACGCATCTGCTCTACTGTAGCGAGCTCGCGCCGCACGGCAGTTTGAACTGTGATCCGAGCGGATAAACGGTCCGTGTGGCGCGATTCAAATGAGTCGAGCTGATTCGTTCCGCTTTTGGCGCATAAACATCGAACATTTATCAAACTCTTCATATCGTTTTATCGAGGAAAATTATATCGCGATAATTATCGTTATCGAATTATCACCCAGCCCTAGTTTCAAAACAGAAATGTGAAGTTTGTTTTATTATTGTTATTTTTTATATAAATTGTTCTGTACAGAAATTTATTATTTGACCTACAGTCGTCTAAATGATCCTTTTAGTGGTTGATTACTGTTCTAGAGGGACTTTAAAGCAGGTTATGAGTTACAGACAGGTGATGTAAATGTGTTCTGACATCCTTGCATGTACGATGCAACCTTTTAAGTATTCGAAAGGGTCTTTATTTTAAACTGTTTGTGTCTTGCCTTTTAGACAGAAGAGCATTACAAAAAAAAGTAGTCTTTTTAAATGTTCTCAAATTGAGAAATGAGGGATTATTTTCTGTGGTAATCAACAGAAGGCCACACATGCTGTCAATAGTCTCCCCTGAATATAGACTATTCTTTTATTATGAATGTATAAAATGTGACAAATACAAAAATACTTCAACGCTGATACAGACTAAATCTGAATCAGGTCTGGTTTAGGCACTCACACGAGGAAGAAATCCCAGCGATCATCATCCACATCGATGAAACTGGCCGTCTCGATGAACCACATGAGAAATGTCTGCAAGCGCTCATGGTACTCTCTGAACCCTGGACACGAGATATCCACCTGAAACGATGAAGAGCAGATCAAATCCATGCGGTGTTCACAAGGAAATGTGCTAGAACGTAATTCAAATGTACAGTCAACATTTCCTAACAACACTTTTGCATAACATGGTACATTGAAAAAGTCAGTCTAATAAGATGCAGCAAGAAGATGCATAAATAAAATAAGTAGAAGTAAGCAAACCATCACATGGTATACAGTTATAAATACAACACTAATCTTTCAAACAACTTTCTCCACTTCTGAAACTTTTATTTTCTGCAGGTAACAAAGCCTATGTGAGGAAGATAAAATAACACGAATCAGTAAAACCACAGCCTAATACTTCTCACTATTCACACTGCCGAACCTGTTACAATGGCCTGAAAACTCAATCATATTCCAGTTTGAATGCTGAATGGCATTGCCAGCTGTCAAAGCAGTGACTCGCATGCTGCGGGAAACTCTGTACCTTGTGTATCTGGTAGGTGAGATCCTCTCTTAGTGAAAGACGGCCGAATATTGTGCTGATCTATCCATTTAAAGACAAAGATCAGCACACGAGACCGAACATGTGCATCTCTATAGAGGTAACATGCATTCATCTTAATCTAAAGCACATTTCAAACTCCCACAGAGCGAGAGCGGTTAACTCAGCTGTGTCTAGTATACAGTGAAAGCAGCTGAATTTAATCATATAAACTGAAGTGGCACATTTATGAGTTATGCATCTATTCCCCCGGCGCTCGGCCTTACATATAATCACAAAAGAGCCCTAACAGAGTAATTCCCTATTGTTCTGTCATTAAGCTATACTTCAGCTGTGATTGGCACGGCGCAAAAAGGAATTAAAGGAAAAAAATACATATTTTTGTGGCACAAAAAGGAGACCCATTAGGCAATTAGCAATGTCAGCCGAGGAGTTTCCAGCCCCTCTCTTCCTGTGCCTCCTCTGAAAGACCACTTAATTGAATTCATTCACTACTTATCTTAAACCATGAATATCAGATGAAGTTCCCCCCACCGTAATGTGTCCCAGCTTCTCACCGGGCAATAAAATTTAATGAATTGATCTCGACTTAACAAAAATTTTTTAAAAAGCCCGGACATGTATAATAGGCTCCTGTGTTGTGAGGCTGGTGAACGAACTCAATCAAACGAGTTTGCCCTCTCCATTCACGGGCCCCGGGGTGGACAATAGCGCCGCCCCCCTCCTCCCCGGGATTTTTTTACCCAGCAGAATGCGCACCCATGTTTGCATTGTATCCATTTCCAGCGGGGCTGACATGAGAACACTTTGTATTAAGTTGCTAAGCAGGGCCCTTTGGCCGCGTGATGGGCTGCGCTTGTGTCGCGGGACTCTTCATTCACAACGGCCACAAAACACACGACAAAAGGCTAATGCAACACGCCGCTAATTCCTGCTCATTCAGACATCAGCTAATATCAGAAGGGGATCGGTGCACCTGCAGCTCAGTAACACTCACTATTGTACCACTGCATTACGGGAGCGAAGAGAGGACGACAAGAACGGAACAGACAGAAAATGGTAAAAACAGACCGTTTCTCAGGCAAATTGTTCAATCGCACAAATAAAAGCGTGGCATTGTGGCGTTCCTGTATTAACTAACAGCGCTTAAGGATCCAAGACTCTTCAGAGTCTCAAGAATGCATCTTCTTTATACGATGGGGTCCAACAACAGCATTGAATCCAATTACACTGGGAAAAAAAAAACATTTTAATCAAAGACATCTTCATCTATGAGGAAAAAAAGATGAAAAAAGAACCCAATATGAGCAACGGTGAAGCGCTGTAAAAGAAAAGACATAATAAAATCAACTATCCTCACAATAAACAACTTAAGTATGTTTAGCGGCTATAATTACATGCCACGCTTAAAGGTGGGAGACATTCAGAAATGCCACTAAACATGGTCACGTGGTGTCGGCACACAGTATATAATTAGGTCTAATACCAATAAAACAGTTCAGGTCTGACTTTATCCAACGACCGAAATCCTTCTCACAGACAAGCAAGCTTGTTCTAATACTGTGGAAAAGATGAGCTGCAATATAGGTCAATGTGTCTGTTAAACACATTTGCTCTCTGTAGGTTTTATTAGCTGGAATGAGAGTCTGGGATGGTGTGAGATAGGCCTATAAAGAGTTATAAAGCCATGTAAGCGTCAGTTTTGTTTGGCTGGTTGACTATAGCAGCGTGAGCACAAAGCACTCCAGTCTTGACAGATGTGACACTTGTTTCTAAAGGTCCACAGAGAACAAGACCAAACTTGCTTCCAATGACATCAAAGCATATAAACAATATCGTTACACAAATCATATATGAAAGGTGTAATAATATTAACAGCAATCAAAAAAAATATTAAAGGTGGGGTAAGCTATTTTCCAAAAACGCTTTAGAAAACTGATTCGGGTCGAATAGCAAAACAAACTTGTAGCCAATCAGCAGTAAGGGGCGTGTCTACTCATGATGTGGAGGAGAGACCGTTCAGTGCATGGGACGGACATTAGCCGAGCCGAGCGACAGAAAGATAGAGATGGCGGATAAAAAACAAAAGAGGAAAACGTCTGCGGAACAAAAGAAGGCTTAAGGCAATAAGGCAAGAAGTAGGACCCGTGTAAATATCGGATCAGCTTTCCAGCGCTGGAGAGAACTCAAGGAGCGGAAGGCCTGCGATCGGACGCCGAGGTTGCTTTGTTTCTTCTCGATAGGCGAGTAACACCGTGTCTGTGCCGCAACAGCTAAAGACTGTCTTTTCTGTCAGGGATTTGCCGTGCCGCGCCGCATCCAGTGTAGACCATAGATATGTACTGTATATACGTATATCTATGGTGTAGACAGCATCACTGATTATAATGAGTTCTATAGTATTTTGTCGCGCCGCGCCACTCGCGTCTGGTGTAGACCCGGTGTAACATTGGTTTTGCTTTGTTTCACAGAACTAATCGTTGCCTGGGTTGCGTACGTATGTGTGGGGCGGAGCTATCAAAATAGGGGCGAGACCCTTTTTGAGTAGGGGCGTGTTTGTTTTGGTGATTTCAAATGTCAACATTGGCTACCAGAAATCGCTTACCCCACCTTTAACAAAAAATATATATAGTTAAAAAGTGGGCATGAAATGGAAATTCATTTTCTGCTTTCTAAACGCATTTTGCATTGATCTTATTGTAAACTATACATTTATGCATGTTTTATCTTTTTTAATTATCTCGTAATTTTTTATCAAAATGTCCTCATTCAACCTTCTGGTGAAATAACAGACTTTTCTCTGATGACACATGCTTGACTTCTCTAACTCCCGTCCCTTTCTTAATTTTGTAATGTAATTTTGTTGTGTGTTTTTGTCATTTACCTTTTTTAGCTTTTCTATATTGTTTAATTTTTATTTCAGTTGTAGTTATTTTTGTATAAATAAATTAAACTGAGAAATGCTGCCTTGGCAACTAGGCAACATAAAAAAGTTTACTCTCTTATATTTTATTTCAGTTAATATTTATTTTAATAAGAAGATTTTTATGGTTTAATGTATATCGAAATATCGGAAATGTGTTTAAAAATCATATCACCGTTATTGAAAAAAAATATATCGCGATACATATTGATATTGAATTATTGTCCAGCCCTAGTTTTAGATGTAATTAACTATAACAACCCTGATCACATTATAGAAGAAAAGATCAGTTTCTACTTACTGTCGTAACTTTAAATATTAAATAGACTAAACAGTAAAACTATCTGTGCTACAAACCAGTGTGTTTATGATTACTAAAATAAATTTGAATATTTGAAAAACAAATACCAGTTTGCAATATCAAGCAGCATAATGGACCGTTTTTGTACCGTAAAATAACTGGATTTTTAATTTGTAATTCCTAAATAACAAAAACAATGCAAAACATTATTGACGGACTTACAATTATAATATGGGGTATATTTGTAGCAATAGCCAAAAATACATTGTATGGGTCAAAATTATAGATTTTTCTTTTATGCCAAAAATCATTAGGATATTAAGTAAAGATAATGTTCCATGAAGATATTTTGTAAAATTCCTACCGTAAATATATCAAAACTTAATTTTTGATTAGTAATATGCATTGCTAAGAACTTCATTTGGACAACTTTAAAGGAAATTTTCTCAATATTTTGATTTTTTTGCACCCTCAGATTCCAGATTTTCAAATAGTTGTATCTCGGCCAAATATTGTCCGATCCTAACAAACCATACATCAATGCAAAGCTTATTTATCCAGCTTTCAGATGATGTATAAAACTCAATTTAAAAAAATTGACCCTTATGACTGGTTTTGTGGTCCAGGGTCACGTATAATAATCAGTAATAATTAATGCAAGACTTCCACAAATCATTCTCACAATAAAAAAAAAAAACTATATTAAATTGATATTAGCCAGATGAATAACGTTATGGACTTGACTTGATTAAATTAGCAGAATGTGGAAACAACAACGTTCAAAAACACCAAATATTTAGGATTTGCATAAAGTCTGCATTGACTGGCTCCTACCCTTGCTTACTGTTGAGTCCTGCGTAAGTTGGAAAGCACACTGAGGCGTAACGTATAACTGCTGATTCTACAGTCAGCTGACTCTCTGACAGCATTCCTCTCTGTTATGACACTAAATGCTGCTCTCCGCCTGTGCAGACTCTGTTCAGAATGTGATGAAAATGTAAATGTATATTTTCACTGGACTGTATGCTACAAACACTGTGCATGTCAACACAATCAGTGAGATGATATGACATACCTCCACACAGTCAAACGTGTCTGTGACCCTGGCTGTGTACTTGACTTTGAACAGGGAGCTCAGGTTCCCTGCACTGTAGTACAGCTGGATCTGAAGACCTTTGTAGCCAAACGCCACTTCACTGTGCAAAAACAAAACACAAGGATCGAAGCAATGGATCAAAGTAGTGGTGCCAAGAAATTACATTTTAGTAAATATTAGATGTCGACCGATAGTGGATTTTACCGATACCGATAGCTAGGTTGGACCACACTGGCCGATACCGATTAATCAACCAATAGTTTTTAAAATGGTAAACGAAAACTAAAACAGCGCTTTACTATTTTAAAAAAAGCAGTAGCAGTACTGAACCATACTTTGTAAATGAATAAACATATTAATATTAATTATTATATTGATCATTAAAGTTATTTCATAGTTTACTAATGTTAAAAAAAGAAACTTTAAAATGTAAAAATATAGCCTATTAGTAATAGTAAATGTTGAAATGAACACACTAGGAACAATACTTTTACAGCTTTCATTAATATTACAAAAGGACTCTTACTGTAAAGTATTACCATTTAATTTCAACAGTCATGCTAACTTAAAAAATTTAGGAGCACAGTCAAAAATTTAGGAGCACCAAAATTTGATAAAAAAATAGCCTTCCCATTACGAGGTGATATTTGACTCCTTAAAGTGATTTACAGTAGAATTTTGTTTTTACCTTTGTAATGGCATTTTACTATCTTTATTAAAAGTATGTAATCTTTTATGTCAAATTAAAAAATATATATAT